AAAGCTATTTTCTGTGAGAACATGGAGTTTAGTACTGAACTCCTTGGTTACTGATGATTTAGTTTTCAAATTTATCTAGTGCTCTATCTCTTATTCTTGTATTAAAGTTCAAGTCCTGTCTGTGTCTGGCCCATTCTCTGCTGAGTCAAGTCCTCAGTCTAGCACCAGGTATTTCTATTTGGATGATTGAAAATCTGGAGCCAAGCCTTATCATATCATAGAACAACATTTCTCTACCCCAGCAGTGCATTAAAAACACCTAGAGAATCCCCCCCCTCAAAGGCCTATGTATTGCCCCCACCTCAAGCGAATAGAAACTAATTTTTTCAGGGTGAGGTTTTGGCTTCTACATTTTTCAAAGTTGTCCACATGATTCTGATTCACAACAAAAGAGAAGAACTGCTCTAATATTCACCTTACCAGAAAACTAAGACTATGTGAAGAGAACCATCATCTCAAATTAAGAAAGAAGTTTTTGAGGTTTCCAGGGAGAATGGAAGACTGAACAGGTGCACAAAGCCTCCCATCTTGTTTTGAACTGAAGACATATATATGCCTGATAAAATATAACAAAACAGAAAAAAGAAAAATCCCAATGAGCCCAATGAAACAAAAAGCCAAATTAAGGTCCTAGGGGTAAAAGTCTGCCACCCATCTTGAGAGCAGATAGTCTTAATGCCTAGTGGGTTGGGTGTCAGGCAGGTGGTGGGGTTTTGGGGATGGCTATATTGTGTCTGAAGATGTGTCTTCAAGATGCAAGACCCTCAGCTCTGGCACCAGAGCTACTGGATTGGGATAGACAGTAAATTTGAAACACTTCTCATATTTCTTGGGTATCAATTAGACTTGGGATCCATGGGTTACCCTAGGAAAAGGAGGCACACCTAGTAACTGCTGAGACTGTGTCTCTGAAGGATGTGGACTTGAGTTAAAGAGCATGATATAATGGAAATGAAAGGGACATTTTCCACACTTGCATTGCAATCTACAAATCTATAATCCATCACAGGAGAAAAGGTTATAACTGTCCATAAGGAAGATGTTATATTGCCTGTGTTGCAATATATATGACTTTAAAATCAATGTATACAATGTGATGTACGCATGCAAGTTGCATCTACCTTATACATTAGAAATGACTAGATGTCATGACATATCTAATGATGTATAGGTATTTCATATATATGACATGTGCAGTCCCCAGGTGAGAGGTGACTTACGTAGTTAATTGGTATATAAACATTGTTGTCAAAACTAGAGGATTTGTTAGTTAGCTTAAGGGATATTAGAGATTGTGTGGGTGTGCATGTGGAATAACTCTGAAGACTGAAGATTTGTTAGAAGTATTGTACAAGCACTGTTATTCCTGCATGAAGGAGGCAGAAGACTCTTGTAATTCCAGCTCTCTAATCCTAGGAGCACAGCTTTCAGTGATCAGAGCTTCCTGGGTATTCTGTTGTCACTTTCTATCAGCTGATCTGAACAGAGGCCAAGCTGGTCTTGCCATTAGTACATCATTGCATCTGTCTTTGAGTATGACTTCCATGCAAGGGCAGGGAGGGGAAGTTTCCTGGACTACATAGCAGGGGTGTAGTCTTGAAAATAAATTATTGCTTGTTTGGATGAATTTGGTCTGAACCTTGCAATCTTTATAAAACACCACCTGTAGATGGAAGGAAAAGAATGGGATGTTTAGCTCTCATATAACTCTCATCATGGAATCCTATCAAAGAGCCTGACATTATGGAAATGACCAAATTTGTAGAGATCTTATTGCAGAGAGATGTTCTAACATTACCCCAAACCTCAGATCACCACTTCTAAAGAGCTGCCTCCTTCTGCAGGCTTACCTTCCCTTAGACTGATGGGTGTGGAAATGGAATTAGGAGCACTGGACTCTAGGAAAGCACTGAAAAGGGGTTCTCATTTAACTCTGTGTAGGGGGCTGCTTTGAGTTGTATCAGGGACTGTGGTCCCACACAAGCTGGGGCCTGGGAGAGGCCCCAAAAGACTTGGCCAGAACACTGGTAATGCAATTGATAGGCAAGACCTGATAATAACTCTGAGGACCCCTGGGGGAAATCAGGCCTAGAAGTAAATTACCCTTCTTGAAGCATGCTTTGCTTTTCCCTCAAACTCTGTTAATCTTATACCAGATAACCAGCTCAAGACTGGGAAAGAAATTTACAAAATTCCTGGACTCTGCCCCAAATCCCACCTGGTGCCATAATGTTTGCTTATCTCAGACCCAAACAATTCGGTGTGTTCCTGCTATTGTCTTCTTTAAACATCACCTATTCTCTGTAAACTTAAGTTACTGATGTAATTAGATTACCTATATATTCCTGCGACTTATCTGCCACTTGTAACCCTCTCAATAAAAGCCATTGGGCATGGGGGCTTGGGGCATTCTCCTTTAGAGAGAATTGCCTTCCCCTTTCCTTGACAGGCAAACAGTGTCTGGAACGACTCATTCTTCCATCTGTGGCAAACCCGGGACTTTGCAGGCCGGAGTCCCCCATAACTTTGAACCTTGGTTTAGTGACAAAATTCTTAATTTTCCCCTAAAGACCAAGATCTCACACCATAGATTTAATTTCCTAGAAAATTTCAAGTCCCCTCGAACCTTAAGTCTTGGCATTAAGCTCTCACCGATGACCTCATTCTTACAGGGCTTGGCTTTTGAACTGCTTTCTACCCATCTCTGAGGGACCCACAGCCCAGACCCTAAACACCAACTCACATAGCCAGCCCAAACTCCACCTGAAGGGCCTCACAATGCCAGCCAGATGCCTGCATTTCTGCCTGTTGCCTGGAGTGGAACCACTTGATTTCTCCCCTGTTTGGAGGATTAAATGACTTCTTCCCTGGCAAATAGTAAACATGTATTTTCTGGTCAATTTCTTTTGACCTAACTTTTTGGTAAGTTCCTTAACTCTCAGTGCCTCAGTTTTCTCATCTGTAAACTGGGAGGACAATAGTACCTACCTCCCAGGGTTGATGTAAGAGTTGGGTGAGTTAGCACACTATATGGGTTGAATGATAGCCTCCAAAATATATGACCATGTAGTAATCTTTGGAACCTGTGAATGTGATTTTGTAAGGCAAAACATATAAGGACCTTGAGAGGAGGCACTCATCTTGGATTATCTGGGAGAGCACTAAATGCAATTGCATGTATCATTAGAAGACAGACACACAGAAGAGGACACATGAAGAAAAGGAGGAGGCAGAGATTAGAGTGATGCAGCCACACACCCAACAACATTGGGTGTCACCAGAGGCTAGAACAGGTAAGGAACAGATTCTCTCTTAAAGTCTTCAGAACTTGTGGCCTTGCCAACACCTCAGTTCAGATTTCTTGCATCCAGAACTGTGAGAGAATAAAATCCTGTTGTTTCAGGCCACCCAACTTGTGGTAATTTGTTATAGCAGCCACAGGAAGCTAACACACACACACACACACACACACACACACACACACACACAACATCCTGGCATACAGTGAGTATTTGTATTATTAGGCAATTTATTGTAAAGGTAAGGGTACCTGTTTTAATGAGGTTTCTAATCACAATACTTCAGAAATGTTGTTCTCATCCAAGATTTCAGGCATTCTTAAGAATAAACAAAATGAATGTGTTTGAGGGGTAGGACAGATTGGGTCTACAGAAACAGTCAAGGGCTTGAGAAAACCTCAGTAACTTGGACTTTAAACTGATAGCTTTGTAATTGTACCAATAATAGGAATATAAAACAATAGTCTTGTAAAAATTTGGATCTTTAATAGCCCAAATAGGGTTATAGCTGGCCAAGGCATTTATTAGTGGTTGAACTTTCATCTTTAATCCACAATTTCTTTGAGTGGGAAGTGGGATATGTACTTTGATCCCACAGGGACACATGATCTTATCTGGATTTTTGGACAAGTTGTTTCCCTCTGCCCATTATACAGCTTTGAATTCCTCAAGTCCCTGCTGAGCTTTAGCCTGGTCATATTTTTTTTTTAACTCAATGAAAACATACCTGCACTACTGAAGAAGCATAGAGTTCATGAGACAAAGTTCCTGAGGAGTTTGTTTTTGCGACAGTCCATCGCCAAATCTTATGGTTATGAAGCCTACACTGGGAATGTTGCTGAGATGTCCCTTGTGTCTCTCAAAGGTCAAGGGAAAGAGGTTAGATGCTGGGAAATACAACTGTGCCATACTGAGAAATAGAAGGGTGGGTGGACCACTCGGATGGCAAAGAAGAGACAGGCTAAGAGACCCACTGAACCACCCTTATTTTGTCCTCTTTCACTTTTATGATTTTGAAAACGCTGGCTAACAGAGAGGCCAAGGGACTGTGGCATTTTTAATTTCACTGCTCTGCTTGTGGGTTATTCTGATCCTCAGCACTGACTAAAAACCCTAGAATGCCATGAGACCCAACATTTCTGTTGGCAGGTTTCTCAGGTCTGATCTCAGAAACCATGGTGATTCTAACTTCTCTCTTCATGCTGTCTAACATGGTAGCCATGAGCCACATGTGGCTACTTGTAAGCTAGTTGAAATTAAATAAAATTTAAAATTTAGTTCTTCGGTCACACTGGCCATAGTTCAACTGCAATCTAGCCCCATGTGACCAGTGGCTACCATACTGGATAGTGTAGATGAACCGTTTATATTACTGCAGAAAGTTCTATTGGACAGTAATGTTCTAGTTATCCAAGATAAAAGTTGAAAGTAACAGGTTGAGGAAGGATCAGCCAGGGAACTTGTACTGAAGCCTATTTACAGTTATTACTTTCAACTAATGAACACTTCAAACATCTATAGTGATTATATCTAAAATACAGAGAGACAGGAAAAAAGAGCACGCCATGCCTTATGAAAAGTCTATACATTTTTAAAGTAATCATGTCATTTTTAGTCTCTCTTTTGGAGGATGTTATTTATTGTAAGACATCATTTTTATTAAATACACTGTAGTACAAGAGACTTCCCATGTCAGGTTGAGAGAAGCTGGTCACATGATTTACAAACAAAACTTTTTTATTTTTAAACACTGATATTCTGGTGTCACTTTGAAATCAGCCAAGATGCAGTGGGTCTTAGTAAAGCAATGGACCTCAAAACAGATTGCAAAACAGGAACCAGTAAGTATCAGCACAGAGACGTCACATTAAAAGAAAATAAAGCAAAGAAAGAGTTCCAAATACCAGGTCACAATTTAAGGGGCAATATATCTTCAGAGATATTAAACTGTGTGTGTATGTGTGTGCGTGTGTGTGTATGGCCTGGATATATACAAACATCTCTCCATGTACAGAAGCAAATGCAGAGAGTGTCCACATCTCTTGGCAGATTTGTAAGTGACAGATAATGATCAACGGCAGGGAGCAATATTTTACCATAATTTGGTCATTTGTCAAGAGATGACATATTGAAATCCACATTTGATTCAAAGACCTTGTATTTAAAACATTTCCAGCAGTTTTATACATTTTTAAAGCAATAGTAAGATATACAAGCTGCAAGATGTAGGCCTTTACATTTCATTTTATGTTCTCCATTTTTTATTTTCCAGTTCAAACACATGAGTATTAGCAACTTTTATGATGCTTGCTCTGGCATGTTCCACGTTCAGCCAACCTTCACTCAAGATCATTTTTATGAATGCACAGACCAAAGAAATAAAACAAACACGGACCTGGCCTAGAATGCATAGACTAAAAAAATGACATCCCATGTTTTCCCATTTCATCTCCTGAGATGTATGGTAAGATGGCAAAATAGTTGCTTGGTTGCTGTTGTGAAATTCACAGTGTTTTGCCTGCAACATGTATACACATAATTTTTTTTTTGCTTTGCTTTGTGTTTGTGATAAATGAAATAAATAAATAAATAAATAAATAAATAGATAGATAGATAGATAGATAGATACATGAATGTAAAGGGAAGAGAAAGGGACAAAATTCAAAACCTAAAGATATTGAATAACCTTTGACTCAAGAAGTAGTGATTCATTCCTGCCTTAACAACAAGGAAATGCTCATTGTTGTTGTCACATTTAACTGCAAATCCTGCCCACCTCTAACTCTTTAGAATAACATTTGGTATCACAACCTTGGTGTCTCTGCATTCCACAACGATGCATTGTGTAGAAATTGCTTTAAATGCTCATTTAGCCATCTAAGGAGTTGGATCACCAGCCATCCCTCTCATGAAATTTTGTGTAACAGTGATAGAGGGCCAAACCAAAGCTCAATATTGGAAATAAAAGTCCTCCATTTGAAGGAAAAAAAGAGAGAGAGAGAGAATTGGTGGTGTGTATATGCAGTCATTTAACTAATTAGAGATACAATTTAATGCTGTTGGCATCGTAGAAAGTCCAGTTTGCAAAAGGAAAGAGATAAAAGGTCTATTTCTGACCAGGGGCTCCTTTTGTCATGGCTCTTTGAAAAGGACAGCTTTGTACATTGTTGTTGCTTGCATTCCCACTTGGGTGTGGGAATTCCTCAGAGTTGCTCACCTCACTGTGGGGTCTCAGAATTATCCCCATTGGCCTTTGAGACACCGGGCTCTCAACCTTCCTGCTGTCCTCTGGAATGCTTGAACTCTAAACACAGGTATAAAGGAGTCATAGTGGAACAAGATAAGCATAATACAAATGTGCAAAAAAAAAAAAAAAAGAAAAAAATATCTATTTTTCACTTCCTGGACCTTTACATAAGGAGATCTAATTCAGTTCACATTTTCCTTTGCAAGGAGCCAGAGAAAGGACTCAGTATGGTGGGATGGCTTTGAGTCAGTTGTTTTGGGAAGCACAATATCTTAACTAGGTCTTCCACCCATCTAGTACTGCACAGAATTGAGAAGTGCAGTGTATTCCTATCCACATGGGGAATGGAAACACTAATGGCAAATGATGTCAAAAGTTTTGGTTATTTAGCAGATTTTAAGCAAATTATTCATACTGCACCCTACTTATAATTATCTCTATCATTGTATGCCTATAAATTTATACATAGGCACACAAACACATTATGTATGTGTTTATGTATATGTATAAATCAAGTATTTATAACATATAAATACATAAACATACCACAGGAAGTGTTGATGTGAACACAGTGTAATATGAATTCTGATATAATCCTTTATAGCGTAGTTCAAAATATTGTCTAAATAAGCCTGATTATGACATTAGTTCAGTGTACAAGGATTTAGCTGAAGCTATGAGCATAGTTATATGTCACGATATCTCAGCTTCTTGTCATCTCATGTGCTTCATTTTGTTCTAACTTCATATCCTGCTTCATGAACTTGTTAGCATTTTTCCTCCCTGGATTGGAGTGTCTAGCGGACTGAATCATGAACTTCAGAGTCAGAACATTTAGATTTAGTCCCAGTGGTGTCAGAAGCTAGCCTGGAGATTTCTAGCATGCCATTAACTTCCCCAAGTCTCAATTTCCTAGCCTATTAAAAAAAACGAGAATAATTTGCTAACATCTGTAAAAATTGCTTGGAAAACTATGACACAACTTGTTCATGAAAATGATTGCCAGAGTCTGGGCTAGAGAATTATGACTGTCACCACTATTGGACTTTGTACTGAATCTGATGGCAGGCCGTATTCTGTGATCATCATGTTTTAGAGTGAGGTTGCTCCTTTTCTAAAAATGAGAACAGCACAAGAAGAGATTGTGGAGGACCAATGTGGGGCATTTGAAGATACTCTGTGGTTCAGTCAACTACTATAAAAGCAATCTGGTATTCTTTCAATGCAAGACATTGTTGAAATCAGTACATACTCTTGAGACAACAGAAGAAAAATAATAATCAGCAATATAAATAACTATAAATCTTTGCACTTGCATAGGACCTTTCATTTCAAGACCTTGAGGGACTTGTCAAAAGGTAAGGAGAGTTTTTTTTTGTTAGCTTTTGTTTTTATTTTTTTGCTTTTTTCCTCCAGAGGAAAACAACACTGGAATGGAATGGAATGCTCCCATCTTCTCATTCGCCTTAAACAAATCCTTGCTCTAAAACTTCACAGCCCTCCTCAGATGTGATCCTTTAAAGCACTGACTCCTTTGCCCTCTGTTAAAGTAAAACAAGTAAGTTGCAGCGTCTTCCCCCAGAGCAGCCAGCCAGTCACGCTGAAAGGCAAACCTGCGTAGGTTTTCAGGTCATCGCTGATGGAATCTAGAAAAATGTTGTACAAATCTGCCCCTTTTTACTGCTTCACAGAGTGCCACAGTGTTTTAACAGTACCATGGGTCCTTAATAGGATATATACATGCAGGTATATATCATGGAGATATGGCTTTCATTATATTATTATATGTATTCTGGAGGGTTGTTTTTTTTTTTCACTGACAAAGAGAACAATCAACTCAACTCCCATTTCTCATTGGCCAGTGCAGAACTTGAAGGGACAGTAATGTTTGTCTTATTTGTCTTGGCCCACTTCACTTCGCTGCAGATGCTAATGGATTTCCTTTTGTTCTCTGTTAATTGATATTTTTGTTTTGTTTTTTATTTTTTTTTTTGAGAACTGGCTTTCAAACCCTATAATGGAAAATAAGGTGTTCCAGTGATTAAGGGCACAAGCAAAACCTAAACAGAACAATTGCACCTTCAGAAACAAATGTGAAATAAAATGACTTAGGATGAATTAAAATTATTCCCTTTCAATCTGGCTTGTGTTATAAAGATATCAAGTTAGCAAAATTCCCCTCACAGAGGGTAGCAAGTTTTCTTGAGGAACAGAAGTATTTTTCTTCCTTGGTATACCTGATCATCCAAATAACTGTAAATTTTTATTTAAATTTACAACTTCATTTCACAAAACCTGTGACTGTGCCCAGAAGCACACCTCCAAAGCTTGGTCTGGGCATAGCTTTCCATTGGCATGCTGTGCCTAATTTTTAATTTTACTTCTTTTAATGGAGTGAAGAAAACAAAACAGCACGCTGACAGTGGAGTACACTTGGAATGAAACCACTCTCCCAACCAGAGCCCACAGCAAGGACTTGGCCTGTGTACACTGAACATCAATGCATAAGATATCCCCAGAGATGAGGTTTCCTTCCCTCAGGGACTGACTTTGCCTTTCCCACAGTCCCACAGTTTCACAGTGGGGTTGACGTGCATAAGGACATCCAGGCTTCAGTGTCCATATTTGTTAAAACCCATCACCACCTTACAGCCCAGAGACATTTATACTTGGCTAATGAACTCCATTAGCTTTCCCTAATTATATAAGTTATGCCTTTTATAAATCTGTTCTACATATCAGGGGCACAACGTCTGGAGCAGTAGTTTCTGCACAAAAGATATTAATCGACGAAGACCATGCACAATTTTGCTTGCACAGTTAGAAGGACAGGTGGGTGGCGGGTAGGGGTTGGAGGGTAGAGCTATCTGAGAAGTTCAATATAAGAGAAGCTTGCCTCCAAATGTATAGCTTGTCCTATCTTTTCCAAGTCCTTGGCTTTCCTACCCAACCCTGAAATGATCTCTGGACAAGAATCCACCTATTTTCAACAGAACTTGACAAAGGATCATTGGATAACACTTGGAGAACATACCAGTGCTATTACCATGACCTACAAAGACAAGACTGTTTGAGCATGTGATGTACCATCTTGTGTCTCACGGAAGCCATTTTTTTCTCTCTACTATACTCTAGAGTTTCTGGTGATGGGAAATGAAAAGTCCATGCCACAGAGTTCAACAGTCTTTTTACTCCTCAGAACGGTCCTCAAGGGAAGGTGCCAAATACATTCCTCCCAGCTAACAGTTGCTGGGTTTTTCCTAAGCAGGGACTGACGCCAGCTGATCCCAATGGTTGCCTTTGTTCCTCCCATATTGTGGTTTATAGTAAATCTTCTTTCTCTCTGGTTTTAATCTCCCAAATTAAAGGGCTTCCCAGATTGAACACAAGTTTTCATTTTTCTTACACAGGCTTAAGCCATCCAAAAACAATAAGAACAGTAATAATAATAAATAAATAGAAGTGAATCCATAGAAACTCTCGATGTCTGTACAGCAGAAGTGACAAAGTTTAAGTCAAATATTTGTTTTCCCTTTTTTTCATCCACATCAAAGGCAGGAATACAACAAGGCATTGTTAGTCGTGGTGGGCAAACTGGAGTGTCTGCTGATATAACAAATTAGGTTTGTTAAGGCCTTTGTCTATGCAGAGTTAAGAGTAATGCAGAAGCCAGATCGATTAAAAAGAAAGGGTAAGAACTGTGAAGCAGGGAAGACAAAAAAAGGAACAAATAAAAAACAGAACAAAAACTAGAGAACGAACCAGGGGAGATGGAAAGAGAGAAAGAGATAATGCCAAAAAGAAGTCCATACTGTGTCTACGGATGGAGAAGTACACATTGCTTCCCTCTGAAAGCTTCTTGGTGTCTTTGTTGTTAATACTGTCAGAGTAGAGAACAGCAGATTGATGGTATCCAGCAGCAGTTAAAAGACGTTCACCCTCTTGGCCCATCTGAGGAGGTGCTTTGGGTAGGATTGGTCTGCGGGAAAGGGCCCTAGCCTAGAATATCCAGATAGACCGGAGATGCCTTGGCCAAGTTCTGAAGGAGGGTGTAGATGCCCTTGATGTTCTTCCTCATGTGGGGCTCTCGCTGCCAGCACCCCAGCATCAACTCGTAGACTTCCTGGGGGCATGTTCGAGGTCGCTGCAAGACTCGGCCCTGAGTGATGCACTCTATCACCTGGATGGAGATCAAAGATGGGATCAGACAAGAGGAAAAACAATACAGATAAAATAAACGTCAGCACAAAGAAATGGTTGCTTTAAAGAAACCCACTCAGTGTTTGTTTGTTTTTTTTCAGAAAGAAGAGAGCAATTATTATAGGTTCATATATTATGCTTAATTGTATATACCCACTTTTCAAGCACACTGATTTCACCAGACTAGTGGAAAAACAACTTGCCTTTATGAGTGATCCCAAACTTCCCCGCAGAATTCCAATGTGTTTTAGTTTTACCAGCCCAAGATGGAAACTAGGTCACCTTTGTGTCATGGTGTTGACTGATGAGGGACTCTCGGAGTAGAGAAATGAGTGTTCATTTTGGATAATGAATTTGGGTAAAAGAGAGATTTGGGCCTGAAGATGTGAGGTGCTTGAAGCTATGCCTCAAATATGGACATATTTGCAAAAGGATTAGAATTGGAAAACAAAATGAGTTTTTCACTAGAAGTGCATGTTGTAGTGAAATATGCAAAAAAGGAAAGAAACTTGAGCCCTTATTGGAGTAATACACAATAGCTAGCTGTGCTCTAAGCATGCTAGATTGTAACATATGTTATTAATTTGCTAGATGAGCAGCACAAAGTGATTCCTCAGTCCCATCACTAGAGGATGCCAAGTGTGTCAGCAAACACTGCTTTTCCTTCTCTAGAACTCTTAAATTTTGAGAGTGACTGTACTTTGGCCATGACATTTAGGTACCCAGGAAGCCATTTGGGAAGTGCTGTACCCAACAAACCCACATTATATTATGTCCTAACTTCTGGCCAAAGAGTGCCTCTCAGTGTCAGCCCTTTAGGAAGGTCTCACCCAGCCCACTGCACACCTCATTGTTGGACAGCTGGTACCAGGGCTGTTTTCCATATGTGAAGATTTCCCACAACACGACCCCCAAGCTCCAAACGTCACTTTCTGTGGTGAACTTCCTGTACATGATGCTCTCCGGAGGCATCCAGCGAATGGGCAGCATCGTGTGGCCCCCAACCTGGCAGGAAAGGGGTGAAAAAGGAGGCATTAGTCATCCCCAAACCAACTTCCCACCATCAAAGGAAAAGATATGGAAGGGAGATGTGGGGGACATTTTGCTCCCTTTCCTTTATTTGAATTTATTAATTTTAATTGTTTATAAACACACAAGGAAAATATGATTTCTTTATAATCTCAAGCACCAGAGACAGAGGGCAAAGAATGGTCAACAAATCTTTTATATGTGCAATTCTCTCTTGAAACTGGATAGGAACAGAATTGATGATTAGGTGGATGTTCATTCAGAAAAAAACGCACACAAACATCCTTTCTGGCATGAGGATGACTCAGCCTTCTAATCAATAAGATAACTTTGACCAAGATAACAAGTAGGGGTCTCTTCATTCCAAAATGGCCCACCAGGTGACTCTACTTCCTTAGCAAGGCTAGAGTTTTCCTCCATTTTAAGGTGTAAGGATGAGTGCATAGTGCTTCTTTGAACATCTTCTCCACAATCCAGAGATGAATAAGGCAGAAATTATTCCACTTTACAGATGAGGTAACTGAGGTTCAGGTTGCTATCAACACAAAGAAGTCAGGTTTTTGGTCTCCAAGCTCAGAAATTTTCTCTGTGATAGGGCACTGCAACTGAGCGTATTTACAAAAAAAAAAATGAATAACTATGATTCTGAAAAGCCCATTTTAGTTAAAACATGGAGGCTGAGGCATTAAATGTTAAGAGCATTAGCACAGGCAAAGAGAACTTTGACAAAAAACACTTGTCCATGATTTCCTACTTCCTGGAAAAAAGTGAAGCATTCCATTTTCAGGTTTGTAGCCCATTGAGGCTGTCTGATTTTACAACCATGATCAGATTTCTGCATAGTATCCCTATGGGTGGTAGGTCTCATTTTTCATGCTGGTGAACCCTAGCACAACCACCTCAAATGCCATGTCTGACACCGGTCAGCAGGTGAGCTTACAGACACCAGGAATTTGACCTCATGGACAACTTTCAGTCCTCAGGTTCTGAGGCAAATGCCACAGTTATAAGTTTCCTTATCCATTTCTGACTCATTAAAGGAAGGAAGTGGACTACCAGTGCCTGAGAAATGCTGCTTAACTCAGAGCCCAAGGAGCTGGGAAGGTCAGAGATGTCTAATATGTTTGGTGGTTTCAAATAATGCCCTAAGCCTCAAAGAAAGCACAAGTGTGAAAGGAGGATGGTGCTTTTGTTGTTTTCCATTCTCTGTACAGTGACTCTAAATCTGGTAAGTATGAACATAAGTTGCTGGTTCAGGGTTAAAGTGTCCCCATATCTTTACTGTTTAGCTTTGAATACACCAAAATCTCCTATACTAAGTAGAGGCTGGTTCTCTTTCACCAGCTTTTGATTTTCTCACTTTATTCTCACCTCTGCAGTGACAGGTAGTCACTGTTCAATGAGCACAGATTTTCCTCATGAAGCTTCCTGGACAGGACTGATGGCGATGACAATACTCACCATCACCTAAAACACAACCTATGTGACACAGGCACGACGGGTCAGAAAGGATGCTGGTGGTAAACTAATTTGAAAGTGTGTTTGTGGGGAAGAGGAAGAGAGATAGAGAACCACTTACAAACATCCCCTAGAACCAGACAGCTGAAAAACACACTCTGGGATGCATTACTCTAGCAAGATACCAGGCTTCCCATATCCCTTGCGGATTCCCAGCTGCAATGCAGTAGACAACACTCAATTCATGGAATTGGAAATGCTGGGTACCATGTCCTAGTTGGGTAACCTTGACTAGTTGTCAAACCTCTCTGTGCCATAATTTCTCCAAATATAAAATGTGGGTAACAATGAATACCTTCCAGGGTTATTGTAAGGTTAATACCTAAGCAGACCATATATATTTCAATGCACTAAATGCTTTCAAGACATTGCTTCCTTCTCTATAATAGAACTGTCTGATTTCCTTAAAATGGAAAGCAGCCATTCCGGGAACACAGAACTCTCCCGTACTCCTCACTGCAGTGACAAGTGCTCTGTGGCCCCTGTGACTATAGCACCAACTCCACCAGGTTTTCTGTCCTGTACTGCTAATGGCCAAAGGAAAAGCTCCTGTTTCCTTTAAAGGAGAAAAAGTAAGGTTCACATTTTGATTTACATGTTGTCCCATATGATCATTTATTTTATGCTTGGACAGATTTTTCACTTTAATTCTTTCAAGAATCCCTTCTGGGATTTCACACATGCTGTTATAAATAATGCTTTCCTTGTTCTGATGTCAAACGGGTGAGTGTGGGAGAATCTAATAAAAGTTCAGACAGGGTTCACAAATTTTCTAAGCCCATTTAGAACATTTCTGAACATTTCTTTTGTAGCCCTTTCTCAGGATTTTGGAGCATGTCACAAAAGAAGACCAAAAAAAAAAAAAAAAAATAGTCACCGTTGTTACAAATTACTGTCACATTTCAGTCACAATCTCTGGAAGGTTTTTGGAAGCTCACAAAACCACATACTGTGTGGCAACAAACACAATGAGACATTTGTTTTGTATTGTGCTACTTGGCAACTTGCCCTCACATCCTTGCTTAAATATTTGTGACATGGAATGCAATCTCAAGTATGACATTGGGAGCCAGAACTGCTGCTGTGACTGCCGGCTATGCTGTGGTGCCTGAAGAGACTCCTGTAACCCATGTGGTTCAGGCCACATGCCATTCACAAGACTCACCAGATTGAACTAATCAAGATGGGAAATCCAGTTAGCTGGGAGTTCACTTAGATTTGCAATTTTTATTTTCCTTAACCCCAGATACTGGGGTTCTAGTTCTGTAATTACCCACCACCACTTTGCCACCATAACCATCTGTCAATTCTTAGTACCTCACATTTACAAAGAATGTCCACTCAGTTATCTCTCTTGAACCCAATTGCTACCCTCTTGGGTAGACATTGGCTTGCCTTCATATTTCAAACAATGCTCCCAAAGTGCAAAGATTTAAGTAGCTTACCTAGAGCCACACACATAATGCTCCCTTGCTGAACATCTTGCACTCATTCTGATGGGCTGCTCTTTGTTTCCATCTTCTGCAGCCTCCAACACATGCCCTGTGTCTTCAGCCAGCAAGCTTAGTTGTGGCTCCTAACCCAGGTCAAACCTACTCAAGCCTGTTAGAAAATGTGATCTTCTTCCTACCTATTAAAGGCAAGCTCAAGTCCCGCCATTTCAAGGAACTCTCTGTCCCTGCTACATCTCCGTGTCTTTTCTAAGTACTAGGAAGACCTGTGCCCACTTGGTACAGCTCTGGTAATACTGTAGACCAGACACTCCATTTTTTTGCTAACAGATAACATACCTCAAGAAAGGTGGATGCTAATCAGTTATGTCTGGCAGGGCCTGAGGGGAATGGCTGGTAAGCATATCATGTCTTCAAGTGGGTTTCTTGTGAGTACTCATACTGGGAAGGAAATCTTACAGTATTCTTTCAAAGAGATCAGTGTTTGCTGCCTTCCTATTCATTCTCCAATAACTTCTCTAAGCTCTTGATACAACCAAGTTTTAGATTAAATAAATGGAAACTGGCTCACCTATTTCACACTACAAATAAGAAACATTCAATGAAATTTGTAACTTCTTAATAAAATGCAACCCAAAATACCGGGGTTCGCATGGAGAATAAAAGTTAAATTGTATGAGAAATCCCACTCCTTGGTTTGCCATCTGTGGAGTAGACAGGGGGATCTATGGTGCAGACCTGGAACTTATTAACTCTGGGAATAAAGTTTAAAAAGATGTCATAATGCATAACACAAAGGGAGTATTATTCTACAGATAGTTGCTAGCATGTTATATCTTAGGAGGCTAGAGAACAAGGACAAAGGCTTAAGAAGAAAGTTAAACCATGAAAAAGAAAAGGACCGAATGACCATCATGGCTGCTAGTCATTGTAACATAGTGAAAGCAGCAAAGCTAACCAGAGCAATGTCTGAGGCCCATGGCCAAAAAAAAATCCTAGAGTGACTAAAATAAATCAAATTACAGAAAATAATGAGTTCTGTTTTTAAAACATGCCAAGAAAAGAACTTTTCATTTAGCTCTTCATGTGATTTCCATGACACTTCACAATTTTGGTGGTGCTATGTATCAGATGATCTGGTTAAACACACAAAAAAACTGTGTTCTAGTTAAAATACTTGGTCCTGGGCATCCTTTAAATCTACCTGGTTGAAAGGTATTTAACACAATTAATCCTGGATTGTGCTAGAAACCAATGATTTTGTTATATTGTAATCAAATTAAACACATCTAATCACTAGAATGGCAATATTTATTTCTTACCCAAGAAATACTCTTTGGGTGCGTACTTTTGTTCATTAGGTTGTAAATTGGAAAATTTCCTTGTCACTCAACAAACAATATGATTTATTTTTCTACATAGGAAAACTAGGATTTAGGGAAATTAAGGGACTTGCTGAGATAGTGTAGCTATGAATTGTGGACCAGCAGTACTGAAGATATCTCCCTATCCCACCCCTATTTATGCTGAGAACCTAGTTCTTTCTCATTTTTTACAGATATACAAAGCATCTTTTTTCCCCAGGTATAAGTTAACTATGAATGCACAATTCATTTCCCAGGTAACTGGGAGATTATAGAGGTGACAAGGTTAGCTCTCCTTTTTCTGTTGGGCTTCACAAATAATGCATCTACCATCCTCCTTGCTCCTTCATCTTCCCTTCTTCTGCTGCATCCTTTCTTCTCAATGTTGCCCATTCCCAGTACATTCCTACTTCCATTTCTTTGAGTATCCTCTCAAGTCTCCTTTGTCCAGTCCCATTTCAAATACCAATGTTACAGTTAGTCTTGCCTGATTCCTTCCTTGTCTCTCCAAATGATCATGCATATCCTTACCACAACTCATTATTCTTCCATGGTGATGTCTCATCTCCCTTCTGTGTTTATGAGAGACACAATGGTAGGCTGGAGCCTTTCTGTAGATCCAAAGCAAATGCCTAGCTGGCTT